AGCGTTTCGTGTTCGTTTTGACTTCGTGTGGACGGGGCCTAAATCTGTTGGTCAAATAAGATTTAAACCGCCCTAAGTGCTTTTCTCTTTATTCCTAAAGCACATTCAAGTCTTTCTAAAATTAGAATGTGACCGACTTTATCGAATGAACTCATCTGGGAGCATTTATAGCGGTCACATCTACATTTCCGGACTGACTCAAGCAAGAAACTGCTCCTCCTAGATCTTTGTTGCACTATTGGGTGGCCTATGACCAGCAAAGAATCAGAATATGTTTATAATTGGATGAATCTCCAATAAAACTAACTTCCATCCATCCATTTTCCGTCACATTTATCCCAAGCAGCGTCGCGAGGGGTGCTGGTGCGTATCTCCAGCTGTCTACAGGCAAAACACGGGGTCCACCCTGGACCGGTCACCAGTCCATCGCATGGCAACACAGCAACAAACAGGACAACAACCACGCACACACTCACACCTAAGGAGAATTTAGAGAAGCCAATTAACCTAACAGTCATGTTTTTGAACTGTGAGAGGAAGTCGGAGTCCCCGGAGAGAACCCACGCATGCACAGAGAGAACATGCAAACTCCATGCAGAAAGACCCCGGGCCGGGAATGAGTTTGTCCCTGCTTGGTCACTGGTATTCTAAGGTCATTGGCCCTGGATTCTTCTGACTGTTATTATGTAACAGCTCATTTCACAAACCATCAAATCTATTTTTAGGGTTATTGCTAGTCTAGTTTTTAAGCCAGGATGCATCCTGGCACAATAGACAGTGCTGTTGTTTTTTTTTTGCAGCAGGAAGGTCCTGGGTTTAAAGAGTCTTCTTACGTGGTGTTAAATGTTTTTCTTTTGCATGTGCAGCTTCCTCCTTCTGTTAGATTTCCTGGTCAATTCCTGGTCTCAATTGTCCTTTGGCATGAGTTGGTGAGTAAACAGTTGAGTTGCCTTATGATAGATTATGACATTTCCAGGGTGGAGCCCTTACATTGCTGGAGGTACAACCTCCACAACCAACCTGCAAGATTTAAACAGATTAAAGCTTGTGTAGTTTAGATAACTTGGGAGGTGTTTTTTTATAGTGTAGTTTTGAACAGATTTAATGTTTCTAACCAAACTATTTCATCAGACTTGTAAATAACAAGAAAAGCGTAAACCAGCCAAGAAAAGTTAAGCCAGTGCATGTCCACTTGAGTCTAAATTTTTACTCCTTGGTGTATCGTGACTGGAGGGGCCTCCAGCTATCTGACTCAAGCTTGTTTGTTTATGTTACGTGAAAAACAGTCGCTACGCTGCTGAGATCTCCGAGGTCCGCTGTGAAAAAGACCCAGGATCAGCTCGGCTGCTCTTATCTGTCCACAGCCAGTCAATAAGGCCTCCCAGTTTACGAGCTGTTGTGGTGAAGCTGAATATGACCTCAAATCCACACGTGTTTACATGAGACTGACTCAGTGAAGTTCCCTCGTCAGCAGTGCTCCTCCGGTTTCTGTCTGCCCACTTTAACTAGTCCATGTTATGAATAAGCTTCACTTCCTCAGCCCAAGTTCCTCCTGCAAACAGCTTTGTAAAAAAACGACCTGAAAGTTGTAATCAGTACAAAGGTCCTGATGCAGTCATAATCACCCTGTGATATCAGACACAGCATCTAAAACCGAGTGTTTAGCTTGCAGCAAACTCAAATAGCAAATAGCATTTTTCCCTCCAGCTTTGCTGCACAGAGTCTAGATCTTCATTTTAAATTAGCTGAAGATTTTCCATATATGGACCCTTTTAATACTCAATTAGCAGGTTAACAGAAGCTGAAGATCTAAGAGCTGCAGGGTGGAGTTCGCTGGTAGCTTGTTTTTTTAAATCTGCATTTAAAGAATTTTCTGAAGCCTTTTTTTTTTTTTTTTTGCAAAACTTTATCAGGAGTTTGCATCACAAGCAGAGGGTGTTTCATTTTCCTTTTTATTCCCCGGGTTGTAAAATGAAAGAAATGTAAAAAAAAAACCTACAGGGTCTGAATACTTTTGTTTTTAAGAGTTTGCATGACTTTTTTTTATGTTATCTCCACCGTTTTAGTTTAGATCTAATGCAAATAGGCGTCCGGTCTCAGGAAAGTCTGAAGAAATAACAGGTTCCCTCATCCATGCATCACATGACCCCACAACCCCCATCATCCCGAGGGCTGATATGTATATGTGTCTGTGTTGATCAGAGGTGCTGAATGCTCCATTTATGGGCCTACTGCTCAGCTGCTTTCCATGAAAGTGTCTTTTTCAGTGGAACCTGCAGCCAGAGGACAGAACTTGGGTCTTTCATCTGAACTCATTACAAACACAGTAACACTTCACCTGATTTCTTCCTGTTTCTCCTCTCTTCCCACAGTTTGGACCAACGTGGAGCCTCGGTCAGTTCCAGTGTTCCCTTGGCATTCGCTCGTCCCTTTCCTGGACTCCAGCCAATCAGGAGAAGCCGCCCAGCCCGCCGATGGCCAGCAGCTTGTTAATCAGAGCAAAGGTAGCAACATGAGCCAGCAGCTTTTTCTTTAGCTATGACAGTAAAGAGCAAGCAGTGCTGTGAGATTGCTGTATGTGACAGGGTGTTTCTTGCTGGGATTTCATAGAACAGGAAGTAGCGTGGTGGGGCCTGAACAGTGAAACCAACAGCTGAGTCAGTGTTTACTCAAACACTTTCAACATGGCTGCAGAGCAGCACAGTTCACTCATAAATTATTGATGGATAACATCTTTTAACAAGCTACTTTCAGGGTTTAAGTCTTCTAAGCAGTGATGGGATTTGATATTGGTCTCTCAGCCCGGGGCAGTCTTCAGAAAGAGGGCGGCATCTCTCAGTTTGGCCCGTTTTTTCTATGTTAGTTATTTTGCAAACCATAATAATGTGCTGTTCAATGGAAGGTCTTGAACAATAACTTTGAATCTACCATTGCAGAGTTAAGGCCTCTGCTAGTGTTGCATCGCTCTTGCGCCATGCAAAGTCATGTTTTGCAAATAGTTCTTATGTCCTCTTTTTCTTTTTAATCATAATCAGATTAGCTGAAGCAGGAAGTGATTATGTGACAAGCAACAGAATATAATGACTTTGAGATAAAGTGGGAAATCAAATGTCATTTTTAACTGAATACTTCTTAATGTCTTATTTCATGATATTTGGGGATATTTAGAAAACTACTTAGAGTAGAAAAATGTCTCCCTGCTCTTTAAGACTCTGGTCGTTCCTCATTATGTGTACTAGTGCTTTCTCATGTGCTCGTGTACTCGTGAAACGTCATCAACCT